TACGAAAATAATAATATAATTAAACCATAAAACTAATATAAATTCTCATATTAAACTATTAATAATAATCTAAAATTTACTCATAAGCTAGATAATACTTTTTAGTCTCATATTTATTCTGAATATAATCTATCCATCTTCTCCAAACCGAGACATATCTTTCTTGTGAATAGTCCTTCAAATAAGCGGAAATTTTTGCCATTTCTGCTAAATTAGACACCTTGAGTATCCATTCTTCCATAGTAGGGAAAGAATCTTTCTTCCAATATTGCCCCACCAATAATCTTGCAGCTGTTATAAGATTCAACATCAAATTAATTTCTTTAACATCAAAATCTACAATAACACCTAACAAAAATAATTGTGGCGTAAACTTTACCTTTCTCTTAAAAATCTTTTGAATGTTCCACCAAATCTTAATCCAAAAAGCTTTTATATTTCTACAAGTCCACCAAATATGAAAATAAGTTGCATCTAAGCTTTCACAACTCCAACATTTGGGCTGTAAATTAGGATACATACAGGACAGCTGTTGAGGATCCAAATGCCACCTATAAAACATTTTATAAAAATTTTCTCTTAAATTTTGAGCTTGAGTAAATTTTACATTTCTAATCCAAATTGTCTCCCATGTGTCCAATAGAATTGGCTCTTGAATATTTTGAGCCCATTTTACCATACAATCTTTAACTAACTCCATTTCAGAATCCAACTCTATTAAAACATTATAAATTCTCTTTATATGGGCTCGAGTTTGATCTTTAATCTGTTTTACCAAATTCATGTCCTCTAAGGTAATACCGACCTTTTGATCTAAACTCCACCTAACTAACAATTGATTATACTGAAACCAAGAGTGTACAATATTTTCTTGCTTCAACTCAACTAAAGATTTTAATTGCCAATCCTTCAAGAATGTTTGAATCTTAAGTGATAGATATTTTATTTTCTAATTTGCTAAAACTTCTCGTTCCCTCTTAATTGCCTGCAGCTATTATTTGCAACTGTTCCATTTTTTAAAGAAAAATGAAGTTATGTTTTGGTTCCTTTCCAATAGAAATCAACTAATTTTAATGGAAAGATACAGCCATTTGGGCCTATGATTACATTTTTTAACTTGCAAAGCTGTGCTGTAAACCATACTCAAAAAAGTGAGTAGGTTGAGCACAAGAATGAAATGTAATGTATGTTCATTTTAATTACATCTGAATTAAGCTAAACGCCTTAAATGTTTCATCAGTTTTCTGTCACATTAAATTTTACAATTAGGCAGTAATCTTTAAAGGGTCTCTAGGAGCCACACAAAAAATGGGGAAGGCCGGGGAGAAGCTCTTTCCTAGGACTACAGGCTGTGTGGTTGATTGGATATATGTCAATATCTGAAATAGCATCAGTTAGTTAAGGGAGATGTGTTTACTTAAGACATAAAACCTGCAGTGACTAATTTGAAGAGTTTGGCAAGGTTCTTAATGTAAAATTAATGCATTGGATTAACGCTGTTCTTATTTCAGTACTTTTTTTTGTTGGGGGTTGTATATGTGTGGGAATATATCTGAGAGGTGATCTTTCAGAAAAAAGAATATTAACATCTTAAGCAATCTTTTCATATGGAGGTATTTTTCATTTGGGAAAAATTAAGTTTCCCTTGAATTTGTCTGAGTAGATGTGCTGCTTAGAAAGAATTAGCCTATTCTATTTGTTATTTCTGAGCCTGCATTTCAAATCCAAGATCAGAGAATTGTAGGAATCAGTTAAAATAGAGAGGCTAGGTCCCTAAACCTTGTCAGTTAACTCTTAATGGGCTCTTTTATAGATAACAGTATATATTGGCTAAATTCAGGTCACCTGTAATCAAATCTGATTACTTAATGACAAGAATAGCTGAGCATTTTCAATTTTTTTACACAGAGAACAAAGGGTCCCAACAGCTTATAGGTGTCTGGTCCCAATAGCTTATAGATATCAAATTTAGGATTAGTCATCATTAATTATTAGAAATATCTAGAATCCAAGGAAAGCAGGTGGACCTCAGCCTCTACAAGAGTTTCCTTATATACAGGCATTATTGCTGTCATTAGAGCGGCATGGTAGCCTAGAGTGAAGACATTTGCCTCACAATCAGGAGATTGAGAGTTCAATCCTAGGCAGCGACAAATGTTTCTCTATCAGGACACAAAGAGAACATATCTGCTGTGAACTCCGGAAGACATCAGGAAGAGCTGGTTGTCAGTAAATGTTCAGCTCCTTTCAGTCACCCTGACTCCACCCTGATAAAAAGGGATCACAGTGTCATAAAAAAAGGAAAAAAATGCTGTTATCTCACATTAAAGAAAGTGGTGCTAGATTGGAGTTTTGTCTCAAAATGGAAGATGAGAAAATGGAAGTCTTTCCTATTATAGTGGTTTTGTCATGAAATGAAGGTTCACACTTCAGTTCAGAGACACTATTCATATTATAAACTTTATATCTTATCTAATTGAAACAAATATATGTGTCCATTAAGTATCAGTATAATATTGATTGTGTTATCTACATGATGTAAGATAACCTTCACTAAACTGAATTGGATTTCAGTTAGTGATGCTGGATTGCAGTTAAAAAGTTTGCAGGAGGCACCAAAGCTGCTTCTAAAACAAACTCCAGATATTAGAAATATTTTTGAAAGAAAATACAGAAAAAATGATATTAAACTTTACTTTCGCCATGTTTCAATGATTGATTCAATATAAAATATTCCACAAATATATATTTTCTGTTTCTATTGTAAAAAAATAAAACCTGACTGTTTTATTTTAATACAAGCTTCTGCTTTTTCCTGGTTGAAAATATGAAATTATCTGCAGCAGCCAACTGCTCAAGAAGATACTGGGCTAAGTTTCACAATAAAAAATGGATTTCCCTTCCCCCAGAGGTCTCCATTTGCAACTTTTCCATACCCCTTCCCATAAGCATTTACCATCAGAAAAGTCTTTGTATTCTAATTGTGTCATGATGGTAAATTCTTAGATTTGCGGATGAAGTAGAAAACTCAGACGATGGGCTTCAGAAACAGGTTAATCATATTCAGAACCTTCTAGCCAGAGGATCAGCCTTATGGTTATCCTCAAAGTTGGAGAATATATTCCCACCAAAATGTCTCTCTCTTCTCAGTTTTGAGACTGAAATAGTAGATACAGATTCCTTAATGGCCCACATAATTCCCTCAAAGATGTGGGATTGACTATTGTATAGAACTACTACAGGTAGTCCTCAGCTTACAAACACAATTGAGACCAGAATTCCCATAGTTATGTTAGTGTATTTGTAAGTTGAATCATCGTGTGACCAGACCCAATTTTGCAATCATTTTTTTGCTTTTTGTAAAGCAAATCACCACAATTGTTAAATGAATCATGTAGTTCTTAAGCAAATCACATGATCCTTAAGTGAATCCATCTCACCAAATTGATAGCTTTGCAGGAAACCAGTTGGGAAGCTCACAAATCACAATCATGAGACTGCAGGATGCTGCAACTGGTCATAAGTACCCAAATAGTGATCATGTGACTGGTGGGGTGGTATGACAGTCATTTGCAAGGACAGATTATAAATCATTTTTTTCTGAAGCCACTATAACTTTGAATCAAATTAAACAGTCATATGTCAAGGGCTACTCATATTACAGTACTCATCAATATGGGATTTGAAACATTGCAATTATCTTTTTTTTAATGAGAAGATAAATTCAATAATCTAGCCCAATTTTTTTTCAGCAACTTTAAGGTAGGTAGACTTCAACTTCCAGAGTTGAAATCCACACATCTCACTGTTGCTGAGATTGAACAAAATTGATGTAGTATAATTTGGAGTTTTCCCCAATATTCTATATTACTGTCCTTTCCCCTAGAACAGTGGTTCTCAACCTGTGGGTCAAGACCCCATTTGGGGTCAAACGACCATTTCACAGGGGTCGCCAAACAATGCAGTACGCCATTTTTTCCCCCTTTTCCTTAGCTGTGCTACTCCCTTTTATTCTATTGGCTTTTGAAAGCCAATAGAATAGACTCTCTTGAATAGAGTCTAATTCTATTGGCTTTCAAAAGCCAATAGGAATTGTCCAGGCTGTCTCTGCCCTGCTGAGCCCGCCAAAAGTCCCATTCTGCAAATGGTGCTGCACCAGTTGAGTAGTCCTCGACTTACGACCGGTTGAGTAGTCCTTGACTTACGACCAGTTGGGGGTCGCGGCATTAAAAAGGTTGAAAACCACTGCCCTAGAAATTTTTTTCTTTATATTGTTTGATTTTTCTCTGTGTCAGAGTCTTTGCCTTTACTAGACCTGACGTCCTCTACAAGTCTTAGGTACAGATTGAGGAAATCTGTAACAGCTAGCAAAATGATTGTCCCTATTATTTCTATGGTTCTGGCAGTCACAGCAATAGCAAATAGCCAAGTCTAGCTTTGCTTAGATTCTGGGTAAATCTAAGCAAAGATCTATCAGATTTGTGCCTGAAAGTGAGGTCAGTACTGAGTTTGCAAACAAGTATTTCATTGATCTTTATTATAAGAGTAAAGAGGCAAATATGTTTGTGAAATATGTTTTTTCCAGCTTTCTTTTCCATTGTCATAGTATTCTAAAGATGACGTATCATCTTGGAGGGAAAAATGAATTATTTTAGTAATTATTAGATGAATACACCTGTGCTGATAATTCAAATAAAGAAACTACAAATTCCAATATATTTATTTTGGAAAAAGTGTACTTGCTAATGAAAACTTTCTAGAGCCCTTGCTTTCTCATTTGTGGTTTTAAGAGTGTAGTTTATATAATATTATTCAACAACAGATTATGTTTCAAACAAGGCTGAACAACACTGTTTGTTTAGTCATAATCTTAACTCATTGCATGTAATTTTAATGCGACACATATTCTTGAATTGTATGTCCTTACCTTTCTTATTGACTGATTGAAACATGTGTATTTGCTTTTTTCTGCTAACTTCCACAATTCTGTTCCTCTCCAGATCTTTCATGAACACTTTTTCCTGGATGAAGGTTGCCTCCAATAAGATTTCAAATACGCATTCAAATGTGTATGTACTTGAATGATTGATTCATTTCTAGCAAATTTTAAATGGGCAGATTTCCATAGTATCCCAGCCATAATGCATTGAATCAATGCTGATATGTGCATGTTATCATATTTTCTTAACACATACCCCATTCCTACACTAATATTTTCCAAATAGTTGTAGAATGCCTATTATGCTGTTGAGGCTTTTCAAATTTCTAGTTAAAGAAATCTCTTGTATTCTTGTTTATTTTTCCCCACAATCCTGATTTGCTTCTGAATAATTTACTGTATCAACTCAGTGAGGTTTGCCTATGCTTTGCAAACTACTCTCCTAAGTAGTACTGGGTTCATATTTCTGCTTAATAGTAGCAGATTTTTTATTTTGTGTTGGACTGCTACATTTTTAACAAGACTTATATTACGATGTACATTGTAAACCATAGAGCAGCCTCCTTAAAATGATACTGCCATAGATACTTAAAACTGTGAGTATAAAATCATATATGGCACTATATGGAGCACTGATTTTTTAAAAATGAAAATTACGTATGCTTGCTAATTATTATATTTCTGTTTATGCTTCATCAGCCGTGTCTGTTGTATGCCTGGGATCAAAGTCATTTGTCACCTTAAATTTCAGTATATACCATAAAGTTGAATAAGAGCAGAGATATGTAAAGTTGAAGGGAAAAAATCTAGCTACATAAAGTTAATGTACATATCTTTAATGCATGTATTTTTTAGATTTCAGTGCTTGGTTATTATTATTTCTAAATCTATTCCAACTACAGTGGAAGACTTTCAAGCAGATGAAACCTATGACAACCTTCTCCAATCTGGTTTTATCCAGATATGCTACTAGTGAAATTCCCAGAAATCTCCAGGATTATCTAAAACAGATATCTCAGCATAAAATAATAAGGGAAATTGTTTTAAAGTAAAAGTGTTAGACTGCTGGGAGTTTAAGACACAGTTTACTCTGTAAAGTACCTTACAACACAGCTGTGCCATAAAAGGATATAACAATCATATATCACTTAGCTTTATGCCCCAAAAATCCTAATTCTAGATATTTAGAGCCAGAAATAGACTTAGTTGGTGATTAGTTTTGAATAATTTTCTAAAAATAAAAAACCTCTGTCCAAATGGGATCACGTAGATATGCATACTTTAGCAAACAGGGTCAATGGTCATTTTTTTCCAGGGAAAATAGCACTTTACAAGACATAGACACACCTCGTTTTTCTTCAATAATTGCAAGAAAACGGTTAAATAACTTCCTTCTTGCCATCTTCCCTCTTAGTCACTGTCATTTTAAAAAGTGTGATCTAATAACTTGATTAATTTTTCATTCAATTTATACTACCAAGAGACTTTGAAAGCAATATATTTATGTATTTTAGCCAAAAAGAAAAAAAAATAGCTATTTTGTAAAAGAGTTGACTGAAGACCAACCTGCCAAATTCTTGGTGGCCACCAAATCAAAGTCCAATATTATAAATGGTAGCACTGCTTTTTATTATATAAGTGCTAAGAGAATCAAGGAGCTAAGATATATTCAGATAGAATGCTATGTAGAAACACATACTCAGTAAGTTGTATTTACAGTCCCTGGGTTGGCAACACTGATAACTGACTTCACCAAAAGTGATGATGCTGAAGATGAGTGCCAAACCTGAATGTAAATGTAGTAGTCTAAGCTGTTCAGTTCACATGAACAAGGAAGTTGGCACAAAATACAATAATTACAAATATTTTTATAAGCCACAAACTGAGTACATCTTTGCAGCACCTTCATTAGAGCAAACATCTTCATTTAAACAAAGTAGTCACTTAATGAAACTGCTACCATGCTTATGATCAGCTTTCCTTTGATTTACAGATTTGCAAAGGTCATAAATGTGAGGATTAGTCACAAAGTTATTTTTCATCACTGTAACTGCAAATGATCACTGTATGAGACTGTGATTAAGTGAGGACTAGCTGTAATTTTGAAGCAGAAGTCTAAAGGCCAATTGGATCTATTTTGCTAAAATACTGAATACCCTTTAGAGACTAAAATATTTTCTTTTCACACTAATTTTTGAGTTAAGACAATGTTCTTTGTGTGTTTTAAGGAAAGCTGTGGTGTTTTGCCTTTCTAAGTTAGGCCAATACTTTTAATCTGTCATTTAGTGTATATTAAGATGTGCTGAATTGTTATTGAGAAATTCTTGCTTGTTCTGTATTTTCATGTTAAAAACACAAATCTGATTATTCGTTAGTCAGGTCACAGTAATAAACAAATACACTACTTCAGAGAGACAGATAATAAAGGCAGCAAATGCATTAATATTTTTTCTGTCACATTAAAAAAATTCCAGTTGAGTAACAATTTTGATAGGCCTCTAGTCAAAATATTTTGGGATCCAGATGCAATCCTGGAGGCTCGGATTATCTATTCCTGGTGGGGACAAAATTACATGCACTTTCCCCTCTCCTATTTAATTAAGGGTTGGTGATAGTGACATGTAATTTCAGATATACTAAGACTTTATGTTGTTTCTCATAGTTAAATTAATTAGCAAACCTTTTACTTAGAAAATTCAGTGTCAAAGAGAAGATTGCATTTTCTGTCCCATATATAGGAGAATTTTTCAAGAAAAGCATTTTATCATATATATGCCTACCTGGAGAATTAAAGACATGCAACTGAGAGAGAAGGATGTGACTTTGGAACAAATAACTCCTTATAAGAGAAAAATGTTGCAGAACAGAAAATAATGTGAACTATTATTGATACCTCCGTTCTGGCAAACCTAATTTAAGTTACAAAAAAAAGCATACTTACTACATTACATTAATTCTTACTAATCAAAATCACTTTTGATTAGTAAATGATGATTTTGATCATTGCCACAAATGTGAGCAGCTTGTATATGTATAAAATACACGTAATACATTCCCACATGCCATTACAACTACGGATCTTTAACAACAAGCTAGGGTGTCTGTCATATAATTGAAATGTTTCAGGATTAAGGTTGCAATTGTAGTTGAAACTATGACTGCTAGAAGGGATTAGAATGAGATATACAGCAAGTCACTTCTCTTGACTGAAATCCCCCTTTCCTGTCTGGAAAGCTCTATCTGCTGATCTAAACCTGTAGGAACAAAGAGGGGTCGGAAGTGGGGCAAGGGAGGAGCAAAGCATGGCATTTCCAAATTCTAGCCAATGGAGATATGGTTTTACTGCCAACAGAAAGCTAAATCAGACTGAGAGCAGTCACTATATGGAATCAAACATACTGGTTTCAATGGGATTTTCAAAATGAAAAGCAAAACATTCACCCCCATTCTCCCCTATTCTGTTCTGAGAGAGATGGTTGTTCACTAATTCTACCACCCTATGTAGTCTCATCTTAGCTGCAACTTGCCCATTTCAATTAGTTAGAAGTTGGCTACTTATCTGCAACTGTATGATACTACTTCACTTTTATATTCCTGTACATCATATGGTTCTCTACATTTTACAGACATTTCAGGTTTACTTTCTATTTTAATAATAAAACTCCCGTATTGACTGCACTATCTTTAAAATTGGGTAACTTCAGTAGAAACATATAAAAATTCTTTACAGAATGAGAGAGTTTGGAAGGGACCTTGGAGGTCTTCTAGTCTTTGTCTGTTATAGCTACCTTTCATTCATAAAATAGATGACATGAATAATCATCTTACCAACAAGTTTCTACCTAGTCTAGATCTAGAAGATAATTAATCTTCAGGAAAACTAACTCAGCTTCTTAGTACCATATCCATAAAAATTACTCATTTGGGGGTATATATGAGGCAAGTTATAGCTTTGAACTTTTCTTTAAACAGATATAAATTCAGCAAAGTCAGCTAGGACTGCTGTATGGATTTCCTTAGTTCAGCAACAAAAAGCAGCCAAGTTAATTCTGCTTTAAAGTAGACATCTTAATAATCTGCTTATGACATTAAATAGTATTTTTTATGAAGGTAGTATTTTATGGACAATTGTTTCTGTACAAAATATTTTTTTTAATTAGGTGCTGGCCTTTTCTAGAAGACCTAATATTAGAATATATAATAAAAGTAGTTCTCGGTTAACTCATTCAGCAACTGTTTGCAGTTACAATGGTCCTGAACAAGTAGTGGATATGACCATTGATACTACATCAATCAATGTATCTGGAGCTCAATTGTAATATGTAGTTTAGAAATTATACAAAATTATTGGGGGGTCTCTGCTCCCTATGTCTTGTGTGTGATAGGCAAATAGGATCTATTTGTTGGCATCATTGCTTTAAGTAGTGAATTTATCTACATGTACAAAGTACAAAAAGTAGGTAATGGGCAATTCCCTTTTCTTTGTCTTTCTTTGTAAATTATCTGCGCAATTTCTCTTAAAGTTAATCAGATGTTAAGCAGCTTTTTATTTTCTAAAGTGTTATTCTCTGACACAAAATTTAAATCCCAAAACACAGTTCTAAAGTCGCTGGTTTTTCCATAGGTTTTCCATAAATTAAATCTTCTAACTATAATATTACTAATCAGATTTTGTGTAACACATAATATTAGTTTATACCATTTTCTGCTTGCTAGTTTTCTTAGAAAGTATCGGCTGAATGTAAATTCAATTAGATTTTTTTTGCCTTCAGCTTCATTATTGCTTTATGGGACTATGGAGAGTCATGCAATGGACAATTTATATCTGTTTAATTCACTTAGTATACTAGTGGTTTGATCTTATTAAAGAAAAACATATTTTGAATTGTGTTAGAACAGTATTTCTATAGTGAATATTATTTGAGAAAGACTTGTTTTATAAACTGCATGTTGTAAATAATGAACAGTATTGTTCTAGTCTTCTAAAATCAATTGAAAATGTCATGTTTAGGGCTCAGTTACAATCAGTAAGAGCATTGTTGAATGAAGAAAAGAAAGTGTTAGTTATATGTTATTAAAGGAGGAAAAATTGTATTAAGGTGTCTGATATTCTCATATAAGAAGACCCAA